CAGCTCAGAGAGCCTCCCCAGGAGGATACCGTGGTCGACGGTATCAAAGGCCGCCGAAATATCGAGGAGGACCAACAGAGACGTTTTGCCCCTGTCAGCCTCCCTCAACAGGTCATCATACAGGGCGACCAATGCCATCTCTGTACCGTGACGCGGCCTGAAGCCCGACTGGAACAGATCCAGGGCATCTGTTTCATCCAGGAGTGCCTGAAGCTGGTCTGCCACCACCCTCTCCACCACTTTGCTCATGAAAAAAACATGTTGCTGATGACAAACGAAATTTCTGATCTTTTGTTGAGAGAATCCATGTTGTACATGGAGCTGATAAGTATAATAATAAATTGGAAAGTTACTTGAACATAATAGAAACTATTGATTGAAAGGTACACATATATACATAAATTAGTGCTGTTAATATACCCTCAGCAATTCTGGTCATTCTTGGATTTAAATGGTTGACAAGTACATATAACTATTTAATTAGAAATGTTCACGTTGATTATGAAGTTATTGTAAGATATATGTATATATATATATCTTTTTTCTCTTTAAAATATTGATTTTTGTTGATTGAAAAAGCATTGATACTCTGCCATATAATTGGAGTGATAAGGGTGCAGGAAAAATAATCTACAAATTTTGTTGTTGCCGTTGAATAACTATATTAAGACATATTGTTAACAACTTTGGACTTTCATCTATATAGGTAATAGATAAGCATATATAACTCTTAAACTAGAATGTTTCATGCTAAATACAATAATAGAAACTGTTGAGTGGAAGATGGATATTGGTCTAAGATTATAATTCAGATAATGTATGTACAGTGGTGCCTCGCATAACGAGTGCACCGTTTAACGATGAATCCTCATAGCGACACGTTTTTTGTGATCGCTAATGCGATCGCATTGTGATGATCTAAATGGCCGAAAATCGCATTGTGATGATCGGTAAGCGTTTCGCTTACCGATCTTCGCGTTGCAATGTTCTAAAAACAGCTGATCGGCGGTTCCAAAATGGCCACCGGGTGCACAAAATGGCCACCTGCAGCGTTTTCATACGCTGCCCTCATTTACCGAGGTGGCGAAAATGGCGGCGCTATGGAGGATCTTCGCTCAATGGTGAGTTTCCCCCCATAGGAACGCATTAAACGGAGTTTAATGCGTTCCTATGGGGTTTTTCTCTCCGTTTAGCGACGATTCTGGATAGCGACGTTAATCCTGGAACGGATTAACGTCACTATGCGGGGCACCACTGTATGTTAATCACTATAAATCAGGAAGGTTTGTAGTGAACTTAATATTTGAAGCATTGATATGAAATATATATGCATATATATACATATAGATACAGAATGGAGAATATAGTATGGCTTAAATATGTTAGTAGGGCAATATGGTTTAGGTAGTCAGAACTATATATTGGATATGACTGTATGGAAAACACCTCCCCAAATATATGTTTTTGCCTTTGTATGTTTGTGATATTAAAAAAACATTCTCTGTTAATTAAATGGCTATATAAATTCTTCATATATTTCTCAAAGAGTGATGCAATTTTCATGCCTGCAAAAGCAAACACTATCTAGTTTCCTTCAAACCTGTTGGTGATGACAAATGAAACTCCTGATCTTTTGTTGACAGAATCCATGTTGTAAAAGCCAGATGTTAGACCTTGGTCCCTTCAAAGGGGAATAATGAGATAAAGTAGCACACAAGTGAACGTGACATCTCTATTGTTGATTTAAAAAAATTAGCAATATTGGCTGAATGTACAGGAAGTCCACACCTTTTGCACACATTCTTTTACACACTGATATAGGAAAGGGAACATGGCATTTAAAAAGAAAACAGTTTTCAGTCAGTACAAGTAATTTGCAAACCTAGTCAACCTTACCAAGGAATATGGAGAGTTTCTGTCTAACAGCATCTGAAAAACTGGAAGTTGTCAAAGCTGGCTTAACCTTCATCTGGATTGAGTCCTTTAAAAATGCATTGGGAGACTTTTACTGTATTTTCTGAGCACATGGGAATGTCATAAGAGATTCAAGTTGGGTTAGTAAGTCTTGGGTTTCCTCAACCCACTGAGAATTCTAGTGCCTCCACTGAGGGGGGGGGAGCAACCTTCTGACACTAGAATAAGCCACTTCTGCTTTTTGCATCATGACACAGCCCCCCCATGGCATGGGACCTTTTATGCCCCACTACATTGTGCTGGCTGGTACAAAAAGTACCCCAAAATGCAGCAGACTTCCATGGCTTCCTTTATTGAGTCGGCCCAACTCTTTTGCAGCCCTTGTCTTGTCCTGCTGCCTTTAATCGTCTCTAGCATTATCATCTTTTCAAGAGGGTCATCTACCAAAGTACAGTAAACTCAGTTTAGTCAATTTTGCTCTTGGAGGGAGGCAGTTTGATTTGCGCTAAAGGTGGCATAAAGGTGGAAAAGGAATAAAGATCTGATTGGAGTCAGTTTTTGAATGGACCGGGGCTAACAGGCTCAAACTGAACCCAGGCAAAACTGAGATTTTGCTCCTGGGAGTCTTCTTGGACAGGGAGGGTGGGGGGTGGGATTTTCCCTAGACTGGGTCGTCCTTCTGGTGAGGGATCAAGTCTGTAATCTAAGTGTGCTCAGGGACCTGGCTCTATCTTGGGATTCCCAGGTTATGGCTGTGTCCAGAGCTGCTGTCATTCACTTGAAACATATTTCCCAACTCCGCCCCTTCCTGGACAAAGACTACCTCAGGACATTAGTGTACATACTGGTTATTTCCCACATCAAGCACTGCAATGCTCTCTATGTGAGGCTTTCCTTGGGTCTGATCCGGAGATTGCAACAGGTCCAGAATATGGCAGCCAGACTGGTGACTGGTGTGCACAGGTTTGATGACATCTTCCCTGTCTTGGCTCACCTGCACTGGTTACCTGTCACCTCCCAAACCAGATTCAAGGTTTTGTTGATCACCTATAAAGCCCTTCATGGTTTGGGACCACATTCCTTGGCAGAGTGCATTTCCCTAAGGCTGTCCACCTGACCCACTAGCACTTCCCAGGCCATGATCCTCCAGGTAGCCTCTCCAAGGAAGGCCAAGAAATCCTCTACCAGACGTAGGGCCTTCTTTGTGGTGGAACTGACTGTTGGTGGAACTGTACCTGGTCCCCTCCCTCCCCTCCTTTGAAAGATCACTGAAACCACTGCTTTTTTGGCAGCCCCGCATGACCCGTTCCTTGCTGCTCTGTATGGTGAAATGCCCATGCCATATTTCATTTTATATTTCCACCACTCAATGTGCTGATTGTTACAGTATTTAGATGTTTTTATTTACATTTATTGTTTCAGTTGATTGTAAACTGCCTGAAGTAGTGCTTTTGTACTAATGGGGTGGTATAATGAATGAATGAATGAATATCCCCTTTTGGTTATTTTGAGCTGGAGAAGCAGCCTCTTTGTGTGAGAAAACATCTTGTGATGCCATAAAGCCAAACACATTTTTTTTGGTATACATTTTTGTGGATGGCAGCCTTGGAGAGCTTACTTAGGCTATAAATGTTTAATAATAA